ATATATCGCTAAATAACAAATTAATCGATGTTTAGCGTTTAAATTTAATCGATATAAAACGATTAAGCGTTATATATCGTTATAAATCTACTTGAAAAAATTCGTGATGTTGCAGAAGAGTTTTATGCAATAAATAATATAAGAGTAAACCCAAAAAAGTCAAAGCTGATAGTATTCAATCCGTCTGTAAGCACAAATAATAGAAATGTATTATTAGCAAAAGAAAAAGTCGAAGCTGAAAAAAGCAAAACTCTTATAAGATTTTTAGGAGTATAGTTAAGCAGCAAAGCCCAGTCCACCTTGATTACAAAAAAGGCCAAACTCTTAGTACAATTAACCATCAAGACAATAAAAAACAAGAAGCTCACACTAAGCCAACTGGTTTATTTGAAGAATATGTACCTGATTCCAAAGCTATGTTATATGCTACAAGTATCTAATCTATCTAAAAATGCTTTAGACTCAATTCATCAACCTATGATTAGATTAATAAAGAACAAGATCGAGCTACCCCGCACAACAAGCAACTTCTTATTAGCATATAGAAATTTAAGAAATTGTAAATTTCTTTGGCAAGAACTTTTAACACAGCAAATAACAGATCTTCAATATAGATTAAATAACTCAGATCGAGATGGACAATTGGCAAAAATCCGAATTAAGCAAGGCTTGCTGTCGGCAAATATTATTAATAAAAACTAGAATTTTGAAGCAGGCCTGATGTTGATTTCAATTTGGAATAATAATACAACATGCTCAATATTGCACAAGGCAAAAGACTTTAATATAAACATCCAACCTGTTATTAATCAATGGCATTTTCAAGAAACCGGCCCACAAATTAGAAAAATTATAGATGCAGCTCTTTTTGTGAAGTCATACAAGAATATAAAAGATCTAGGTATTATATTCCAAGATCAACTATTAGACAAAGAAAGAAAAAAACTTTTAACATGGCAGCAGCTCAAAATAGCAAAAGGTAAAGCCAAAGTAGGGCAAAAAGCTAAGTGGTTCTCAGCTATAGAAAACATTTTACTAGAGAATCCCATAAGCAGAAAGATCAAAGAAATATATCAAACACTAGGGCCAAACAATTTTGCGCCAGTTATGCTAGTAGTATCAATCTCACCAGACAACAGGAAAAAAGAATGGATCTTGTTAAACAAAGAAAACGAGGAATTAGAGGTCTTAAAAAAAGGCAAAAGCAAAATCCTTACAGAGCATTGGGCAATAAAAGAAAATAGCTTGACAACAGGATATGTTGAAGTAGAGCAGGTTACTGAAACATCACCATCTGAGCAAAAGAAGAAATATAGTTGGATTAGCCAAAACAATATTCTTACAGTAATCTCAAAGCCACTACAAAAGAATAATCAAAAGCATATTCCTAGATACAAAGATATTCTGCCTAGCAAAATCAGCAAGTTTAAATCGTTAAAATTCAGTAGTAAAGAAAGGGTATTATGTGGGTTACGGAGTTTAGAACCATTAGACAAACAGCTGATATTAGATCAGAACTTTAATATAGATTTGGCAAGTAATTTAGAAAATAGGTTAGATTTTAATATCAGTAGCAATAGAAATAATTTTTGGGTATACACAGATAGGTCATTAATTCGAAAGATAGATAATTGTAGTATGGGTATTGGATGGGTACAGATAGATGAAAAACAAGAAAAGTTATTATAGGAGGGTTTTGCAAAATTAGAGAATTGGCCGTCATCAACAAAGCCTGAGCTTATTGCAATTTGGCTAGCTCTTTTCACTATTCCAACAAGTGGTAATATCTGGATCTTTTCAGACAGTGCAGCAGTGATTGCCAGTATAGAAAAAATTAAGAGTGAATGGAGATTCAACAGAATTTTCAAGGAAAAGAACTGGGACATTCTAATCAAAATAGCAGATCTTATTAAAGCAAAAGGGATTAACTTAGAACTCAAAAGAATTAAAGGCCATAGCAACAACAAGTGGAATAATAGAGCAAATACATTAGCAAAGAAAGCCACATCTTTGTCACACTCAATGAACATTTACTTGGATCAAAAAACAAGAATTTTATTTCTGCTATTTTGGGGTGATCATAAAATTGAAAAGTCAACCAGACCTACTCTTAAAAAATTCTTCGAAACCTAGAATGGTACAAACTGGCGATTAACAAAGTCAATTAGAGCCATAGAGCCTGAAACAAATAATCCTAAGTTAGATTGGCACACATACTGGAAAAGGATAAAGAAATTAAAAGGTGTAAAGTGTAACACACTGCAGAAAAGTAAAAAACTCGCAACTCAGTTAAAATGCCTCTCGGGAAACCTACCAGTGCTTAAAACCTTAGGGACAAGAAGACCAGACATTTATACAAGCAGTGATTGTATAGTATGCAATAACAGTACTGCAGAAACCCAAGATCACTTAGCAGTATGTGTTTAATACAAGGCAATTTGGCAACATATCGAGAACATAGCAATCGATCTAGTATGGTCTAAACTCACAAAAAATGAAAAATATCTTTGCTCAAAAAGACTACTTCATGAGATCTTAATCGGGATTACAGAAGCTAATAAAAGTAAAAAAAAAAAGTTGTGGATCAAAGGCTTATCTACTATTGACTCTTTTGACAGAATCAAGAATCTCTTAAATTCGACGAAAACGACTCAAATTCAATAGAACTCGCCATGCATATGATCTGGAATAGTTTTTACGACTTTATATAGAAAGACAGATGCATTAAGGTTAATAAATGGGAAAAAGAGCAAAATATAAAAAAGAAAGACAAGAGAAAATCAATTGACAATGAAAGTAGCATGCCGTCTAGCTCTAGAAGGAAAAAGAACAAAGATAGAGTTAAAGAAAAAGAAGTATTGTTAAAGAAAAAGGAGACGAGAAAAACATAGTGCGATGCTATTTCGAGTTGGATACAAAAGGGTGAAAATCCCTTTTGGACAAGCTCTTGAAGAGAGCTTTTTTTTCTAGCTTATCCATAAGCTAGTGCGATAGGTTGCACCTAGATACCTTTATAGGCAACTGGGTAAAGTCAGGCTTTTAGTTAGTCTTAGAAATAAATGTATATAAATTAAATGTACTAAAAACTAAGAGGTCAAGTCACAGCAAGACCTGTCAAAGAAATAAAAAAAAAATATAATTTTAATTGTTAGAGATTTTTACTATTGGGATTCTGTTTGTCAGAATTTTGACCAGCACCTGTGATTTTAACTTACTGGTTAAGTGTAATGCCAAAAATAGTTTTAGCTTCTAAACTAAATATTTGTATCTTACAATATAATTAATATTTCTTTTTTTTTTTTTTGGTATTAAGGTGAGGCCTTGCTTGTATCTTTATTAAGTAATTTATATAAGTAATTACAAAAAACTATATAAAAACTAAATTTGTATAATAACAAGTATTTATAAATTACATGCAAGAATGGAAGCTTAGACTAAAAGCTAAAGCTAATTATCTGTGACCTAAACCTACTAGAGTAGTCAAGATTTATCTAGGTTTTAATAGTAGTATATAATTTGTAGGAATGCTAAATTGTATCTATGTTGTTGACTATTGGCTGAATTTGTATTGTGCTTGCTCTTTAGAAGGACAGTTATTGTTCTTATACTGTTGGTTTGGTAGGCCACACAGGCAGCTATAAGTGAATTTTTAAGGTCTTTTTTGTTGGCTTTGTACTTGTTTATATATAGTCTGTTTAGCTTGATTGGAGGTTTGTATATTGTGTTGCTTTTTCTATTTTGCAAGTTTTTTATAATATGGCTTTCAGATTTGCTCATAGGTTTCTGTAGAAATATGTAGAAATATCCAAATTGTAATATCTGCTGCCTCTTTGTGTTGTATACCTACTGCTTGTAATGCTTGTAGCAAGTGGGATAAAATGAGTTTTTTTATAGTAGTAAATAGAGTGTGTGTTTGAAAGAATGTTGTTGAAAAAAGTATGAGATTTGATAAGGTTTATTATTACTCTTTACTGTATTGGAGTTTGGTCACTAAAGTGTTTGGTGATCATTTTTGAGATTGAATGATTTGGCTAATTGTTTGTGGGTTATAGAAGGTGAGCCAATGCATAGCTAAGTCTTGGGCATTGCATGTGAAGCAAGTATTGGCTAGAAATATTTTAGATATAATATTGTGAAAGTGGTAGTAGATTAGCAGTTTATTGAGCAAGTTTTTGACTCTAAATGCTTTAGGAGATGTAATATTGGATATAGCTTTTGAATTGTTATTGAGATAGAGCCAAGTTGAGCTCCAGTCAATTGTTTGGATATGACTCTCCTATTCAGCATTGTGTTTTTGTGAGGACCACATTGCTATTGTATATGCTTTGCCAATGTTTTTAATTAGTTGTCTATTGGGTTTTTTATTAATTTTTCTTTCTATTGAATAATAAAGTTAGGGTTGTATATGTTGGTATAGTTAAATTGAAAGATATGGGTTAATGGTTCTTGATGCTTCTTAGCTAGGGAGTCAGTTAAGTTGTTAAACAAGTTGTTTGCATGTGCCTGAACTTTGTAAAAAGAGAGCTGGATATTGTAGCATTAAGGAGTATATGCTATATAGACTAGTAGTTGAACTTAAAGTACTTAGAAGATTTGGTAGAGGTGCATAGAAGTTTATCATATTTGGATATGATTGATTGAAAATTAGTATATATATTAACTCTGAGGTACTGTAGAAATAGTAGATAAAATTGCGATAAGCTCAGCTTTGTATGAGGAGAGCTAATTAAAAATTTTGGCTAAAAATTGATTGATAATTTGGTCATTATCTAGTTGCACCAACCTATTTCCATTGAGCAGTCACTGGTATCTATGTTGATACTAATCCATTTGTATAAAAGGTGAATATTTGTATACTACTGTTAGTGAGAGAATATTGTAATAGTTTTAGGCAAACTTCACTAGTATGGAAAAGAACTGAGACTAGGGAGTCCGTAATATTGATATTAGGCAGTAGTGGAATAGTAATAGAGTATTTTTCTTTCTAAAAATTGTGTAGATATAGTATTGGATACTTCAATAGTGCAGTAGTTAGTTAGCCAATTACAAAAAACATTAATAACTCTTCCTAACGATTACTTGTACCAAATTTTTTACAAACAAAAATTTTAATAAAAACTTATTTGTAGTTGTAAATATGAAAAAAAAGGCAGATATCCACAAGTTGGCATCTGTTATTTAGAGATAGTTCTCATATGCTATCTGCTAACTAGTTTAGAGTTTATTACTTACCGCAAGAACGGCACTTATTGTTTAGAAGTAGTTCTTATATGCTACTTGCCAACAAGCTCAGAGTTTATCATTTACTGGTGCAAGAAGCTATCTGTACTCCTCTCTCCCTCAAGTTAGGGTATATATTTTAGGTTAAAGAAAATAAACACTCTTTAAGAAAAGGCTCAAGTGACTCTTCTATCATCTTCTTTGCTTCTCTGCTATTTTT